GTTGGGTGCATCTGCACGCAGTCTAACGTATGAACCACAATCCGGTTGATCAGACAACATTTGGTGGGTGTTTATGTAGTAACCCTTTTGAACTGGGGCCTTTAGATAACTCACCATATACCAGCTGACCTAATTTACTCAGCTTACTCACCTAGCCCCCCACAACAGACGACCCACTCCACCCACCAATAACCCACCTTCCGGTCACCCACCCACCCGTCCCCCAGACTCCCCCACCTATCCCAGACCTTCCGTCCGTACTAAAGAGGAGTGGACAGGTGCTTCTTGCTGGGGGAAATACTGGTATGCCAAGGACGGTAGTGGGATGAGGATAGGGGAGAAGATATGGGTAGAAGGAAGGAAGGAAGGTAAGGAATGAGTTGGAAGAAAGGCGTGGGGAAGGGGGAGGGGCACCGGAAAGCCGTGTAGGTAAGGGAGGTTGAGAGGGGGAGAACCAGATAGACCAGAGAGAGAGGTATTTAGGAAGTAAGGTATAAGGGAGGGAAGGGGAGGGAGGGAAGGGAAGGGGGGTGTGAGAGAGAGCAGCGGGCAGTGAACAACAACAGCTGGTACCCGGTAGAAGAGCACCCATCCCAGCCAGCGGCTACTGGCCGCCTCTATCCCTCCCCCCCCCTTCCCCCCCCCCCACACACACCTTTGTTCCTTTCCTGCTCCCTAACCTGCATGTCTTCCCCACTACCACCCCACCCAGGTAACCCCCTTCCCCCCCCCCCCCAACCTCCAGGATACCCTTTTAATACTTTTAACAGTTACTACTACCGGTGCTGCTGCTGCAGGGGACTCACCTGACAATGTTGGGGTGTTCGAAGCGTTCGAGCTGTTTGAGGAGGGCAATCTCCCGCACGGCGTTGACCGGGACGCCGTCCTCGTTAAGCGTAATGCGTATCTTCTTCAGCGCCACTACCCGCTCCAGGTTGCTGCGGTCTCTGGCGTAGTAGACTGTCCCGTACGCACCTGTTAAATGGACACGCAGGGGTTAGCGAGCTCCAGCACGCCAGGCAGGTGTTCTTTAGGTGTTCTTTATGCACATGTGTTGCGGCAAACTATATGGGCGTGTGTTATTCCGTACGGGGAGGGAGGGGGGGGGGAGTGTACGCATTCCTCAGGAAACCGGTTAGTCAAACTGGCATATATTGTTCCACGCACGCACGCACGCACACACACGCACGAACGCGCGCACACACACACACACACACACACACACACACACACACACACACACACACACACACACACACACACACGCAAACAAACACCACATCAAAAGGATATCATCAGCGGCATATGCTAGACGGCCAGTATAAGAACTGTCTTTAGAAACTTACGTAAGGAATCGTTCAGGACCCTTAATACAACTTATGTCAAACTAATCCTGGAATATGCAGCTCCAGCTTGGAGTCCATACCTAGTTAAACACAAGACAAAGTTAGAGAAGATTCAGCGGTATGCCACCAGGCTCGTCCCGGAACTGAGAGGTATGAGCTACGATGAAAGGCTGAAGGAGCTGAACCTCACATCCCTGGAAAACAGAAGAGTAAGGGGAGACATGATAATCACCTAAAAAATTCTCAGGGGAATTGACAGGGTGGACAAAGACAAACTCTTCAGGACGAGGGGAACACGAACAAGGGGACACAGGTGGAAACTGAGTACCCAAATGAGCCACAGAGACATTAGAAATAATTTTTTCTGTGTCAGAGTAGTTAACAAATGGAATGCATCAGGCAGTGATGTGGTGGAAGTTGACTCCATACACAGTTTCAAATGTAGATATGATAAAGCCCAGTAGGCTCAGGAACCTGTAGATCAAGTGATTGACAGTTGAGAGGCGGGACCAAAGAAACAAAGCTCAACCCCCGCAAACACAAATAGGTGAGTACACACACACACACACATACACACACATATACACACACGCACACATACCTCGTAGGGGGGGCCTCGTAGCCTGGTGGATAGCGCGCAGGATTCGTAATTCTGTGGCGCGGGTTCGATTCCCGCACGAGGCAGAAACAAATGGGCAAAGTTTCTTTCACCCTAAGTGCCCCTGTTACCTAGCAGTAAATAGGTACCTGGGAGTTAGTCGGCTGTCACGGGCTGCTTCCTGGGGTGTGTGTGTGTGTGTGTGTGTGGGGTGTGTGTGGTGTGTGTGGTGTGGGGAAAAAGTTGAGGCGGGCCGAAAGAGCAAAGCTCAACCCCCGCAAAAACACAACTAGTAAACATACACACGCACACACACACACACACACACACACACACACACGCACACACACACGCACACACACACACACACACACACGTCTCTTTTAAAACCGGTAACAGGCAGACTGACATGTACTTCTCAATACACATTTGACAAGTAAACCCGGTTTATTCACACGGTCAAAACCGAATACATCTGACAGTTATAAACCAGTTGAAGTGCCCCCCCCCGGATGTATCTCTTAGAATTTCAGACAAGCACAGTGACATGTTCCTCCATAGTCACCAGATTGAAGGTGAGTACACTCAAGCTGGTATACTGCCCCTGTACTACACTTCCAGAGTACATGTACAAGCAACATGTAGTACCAGACCTACTTTATGTGGGGTGATAGGTGTAAGTTGCCTGCTGCAGTAGATGTAGCAGTATAGTGAGGAGTAAAGCTTTGGTTGTTGGGGTCGTGGTGAGGGGTTGTGAGTTGTGTGGTACTGGTGAGGGGTTGTGAGTTGTGTGGTAGTGGTGAAGGGTTGTGAGTTGTGTGGTAGTGGTGAGGGGTTGTAAGTCAGGGGTAGCATGGAGGGTTGAACTAACAGAGGTGGTAGTGGGGGAAGACATGCCTGGTAGAGTGGCTGTGCTGGTGAAAGAACACCTGAAGGTAAGAGAGTTAATAACCGTCGAGAAGTTGACATAATGTCACCGCAGGTCTGGAATCAGGATGATAAACTAATAATCGTAAATACCTGCAGCCACCAGCAAGCAACACAACGAACAAAGGAGGAAATGGATGACAAGCGAGAGGGCCTTATAATGGTCACGAGAGAGAGAGATTGTAGTAAGGGCAGACAGAGATAAGTCACGATTGTTGGTACTGGGGGACTTCAACTTGAAAGGAATAGATTGGGAGACCTACGAAGCAAGAACACAGGACAGGCAGATTTGTAAACCTCATTCTGGAGGTGTAGTACAATGTGGAATCGGAGAAAATAGACCACACACAACTTACAAATTATGCAAAAAAAAATTACATAACTCTACTAAAGCACGAGACTTAAGGGGTGGTTTTTGGATAGTAAGCTGTCGCCAGAGGAACACAAAGAACATTGTGAGAGGAGCGGATGCGTCGCTTTCCAACTTCAGACTTGCTTTTAACTATATGGATGGTGAAATACTAAAGAAACTGTACATGACTTTTGTGAGACCAAAATTGCAATATGCAGCAGTTGTATGGTGCCCAAATCTCAAGAAGCACATAAATAAACTGCAAAAGGTGCAGCGGCATGCTACAAAATGGCTCAGGAACTGAAAAAAAGAGTTACGAGGAGAGACTAGAGGCGTTAAACATACCAAAACTAGAAGATAGAAGAAGAGACGTGATATGATTACCACTTACAAAATACTAACAGGAATCGACCAAATTGACAAAAAGAGGAATTCCTGAAACCAGCAACTTCACGAACAATAGGACACAGATTCAAGCTAAGAAAACACAAGTGCCGAAAATATATGCGAAGTTTTCTTTTACAGAGTGGTGGACAGTTGGAACAAGTTAAGTGAGAAGGTGGTGGAGGCCAAACCCGTCCGTAGTTTCAAAGCGTTATACAACAAAGAGTACTGGGAAGACGGGACACCACGAGCGTTGCTCTCATCCTAGAACTACACTTAGGTAATGACTTAGGTAATTACACACACAGAAGGCTAATATACAAAGTTGAGAGGCAGGCGGGAGTCGACGGAAACGCACTATCATGGGTAAGGAATTACCTGCCAGGTGTCAGAGAGTGACAGTGAGGGGCGAGGAGTGGGACTGGCGTAGAGTAACAAGCGGGCTGCCTCAAGGATCGCTGCTATTCCTCATTATGTAAAAAAAGACTTTACTGCAGGAGTTTGCAACGAGACTCGTCCCAGAGTTGCGAGGGATGAGGTACGAAGACAGACTGGAGGAACTAAACCTGACGACGTTAGAGAAGAGGGAGAGGAGGGATATGATACAGACGTATAAAATACTTAGAGGGATTGACAAGGTGGAAACAGAGGAAATGTATATAATAAATATCCACAGAACAAGGGGACACGGATGGAGGCTTGAGACTCAGATGTGTCATAGAGATGTTAGAAAGTTTTCCTTTAGCGTGAGGAAAGTGAGTCAATGGAATGACCTAAAGAAGCAGGTTGTAGAGGCTGACACCATTCATAACTGTAAAAGCAGGTATGATAGGGGAATAGACCAGGAGTCATTGCCTTAAACAACCAACGGCTAGAAAAGCGGGGTCCAAGAGCTAGAGCTCAATCCTACAGGCACACATAGGCGAGTATACACACATAAACTTACCATTGCCAATTATACTGATCTCCTGGTAGTTATCACTGTCCCTGGGAAGGTCGGCCAGAGAGCCCACAGAGGAAGACCCCGCAGCTGCGGCGGCAGCGGCGGCGGCAGCAGCGGCGGTGGCGGCAGTAGCGGCGGCGGGGGGCTGGAGGGGCTCCTCCACGGAGGGCGGAGGGGCGCGCGACCCCCCTGTCTTCCCCTGGTCAGTCCCACCGGCACCACTGCCTGAACTTGCCATGGTCATCACTGTCGAGGGGCGGGCCGCCACTCCCGAGGGTACACGACTACTGTGGGCGCGGGGGTCGTGGTGGGGGGATGTCGCGACCACGGAAGGGAAGGATAGGAGAGGATAGAGCTGGGGTCAGCAGCTGAGGCGTGACCTCGTGGTGGCTGTGACCTGACCCTCCGCCACCATCACAACACTTGCGACTCACTCCAGTCCATCAACACCTGCAACACAACACAACATCATTAATTTAACAATATTTCTGATAGTTCAACACACAAAACAAATTCATGTTACCTTTTGAGGCCATTTACAAACCGTGAAGTACATGAGTGAGGAGGCTTAAGGCGCCCTCAATGTTGTCTACCCACGTGAAGAGTCCAGTGTCACACACACAGAGATCACACTAACGTAATGCATCAAATGAACAAATCCACAAGGGCAATCGATTAGCAATCCACAAGTAGCTCAGTCGATTAAGGCAGTGTCTGGGATGATCCCGGACGCAAGTTCGAATCCTCGTCACGGCCCTTGTTGATTTGTTCATTAGTCCAGTGTCATCTGCAGAGGATGTTACGGTGCTATAGTGTGTGTCTGTCCGTCATGAAGACGAGAATGAGTACTGGAGCCAGCACAGTGCCTTCGGTGGCAGCGTTACACCACTGATGATTGGGATTTTACTGTGTTGACTATTACCGTACACTGTTATGTTCGTTGGGAAATTAGAGATCAATCTTTCTTCTTTGCCAGTAAGTGCCTTTGTTTATAAGACCATCTGGAGGTTATCTGGAGATGATTTCGGGGCTTTTTTAGTGTCCCCGCGGCCCGGTCCTCGACCAGGCCTCCACCCCCAGGAAGCAGCCCCTGACAGCTGACTAACACCCAGGTACCTATTTTACTGCTAGGTAACAGGACTAGGTAACAGGTAACCATAGTCACATTTGTCGAAAGATTTCGCAAAATCTGAGTATATTACATAGGAGTTTTGTCTTCCATGGCACCTAAAGCCATGTCATAGTTGCATAGCAATTGTACGAGGGAACACCGCCCTGTTCTGAACCAGGGCGCCTGATGGCCGAGTGGACAGCACTCAGGATTCGTAGGCCAGAGGATCGGGGGTCGATCCCCGGCGATGGCGGAAACAAATGGGCAGTTTCTTTCACCCTGATGTCCTTGTTAACTAGCAGTAAATAGGTACCTGGGAGTTAAGACAGCTGTTACGGGCTGCTTCCTGGGTGTATGTGTGTGTGTGTGTGGGGGGGGGGGGGGGCAGGAGGGGGAATTTGATTGCTGATTGACGGTTGAGAGGCGGGCCAAAAGAGCCAGAACTCAACGGCTCGTAAGCACAACTCGTAAGCACAACTAGGTGAATCAACCCGTTCTCGCAAATTTAATAAGTCAATATTGACTTATTAAATATGTGAATAGGTGACATACTTAACATAATAGATACCCTTAAAAAGATTCATAGAAAACACCGACCTTACCTAACCTTGTTAGTATCTTAAGATAAGCATCTTATAGCTTCGTAATTACAATTATTACCTAACCTATAATAGGTATAGGTTAAGTAATAATTGTAATTACGAAGCAATAAGATGCTTATCTTAAGATACTAACAAGGTTAGGTAAGGTCGGTGTTTTCTATGAATCTTTTTAAGGGTATCTATTATGTTAAGTATATCACCTATGCACGTAGTTAATAAGTTAATATTGACTTTACGAATTTGCGAGAACGGGTTGGGTGAATACATGTTGTCCTGGGCTGTGAAGACGCTGTGATTCTGTGATTCGCTGTGATTTGTGATCTTACTTCCTTACACTTTCCTTACACTCCTTTCGAAGATTTTTATGATGTGTGATGTTAGTGTTCTCGGTCTGTAGTGGTCGAGTCTGATGCATTATCCTCTCTTTTCCTTTAATGGCGCGAACTCCGCTGCTTTAAGTACGTCCAGGCAGCCTCCATGTTGTCCTCCAGGCAGCCTCCATGTTGTCTTCCAGGCAGCCTCCATGTTGTCTTCCAGGCAACCTCCATGTTGTCCTCCAGGCAGCCTCCATGTTGTCCTCCAGGCAGCCTCCATGTTGTCCTCCAGGCAGCCTCCATGTTGTCCTCCAGGCAGCCTCCATGTTGTCCTCCAGGCAGCCTCCATGTTGTCCTCCAGGCAGCCTCCATGTTGTCCTCCAGGCAGCCTCCATGTTGTCCTCCAGGCAGCCTCCATGTTGTCCTCCAGGCAGCCTCCATGTTGTCCTCCAGGCAGCCTCCATGTTGTCCTCCAGGCAGCCTCCATGTTGTCCTCCAGGAAGCCTCCATGTTGTCCTCCAGGCAGCCTCCATGTTGTCCTCCAGGCAGCCTCCATGTTGTCCTCCAGGCAGTGCCCGAGGACAAACCCGAAGGCAGGAAATGGCTTTGAACACAACCCGTATATGGGGAAGAGAATGCACAACCCGAACGCCTCCCCGCCCACACTCCACCACAACCACACTGCCCTCCACCCTCCTCGCCCACACTGCCCCCCCCCCACTCTCACTGCTCACCACCCCCTACGCCCACACTGGCCTCCACCCTCTCCTTCCTGCTTGATACCTGCTTGATGACTCCCAGACTCCTTTTACTGCACCACCTGGCTACCAGTTACCACCTGCTTGTTCATACCTGCTGACTACCTGCTTGATGGGGTTCTGGGAGTTCTTCTACTCCCCAAACCCGGCCCGAGGTCAGGCTTGACTTGTGAGAGTTTGGTCCACCAGGCTGTTGCTTGGAGCGGTCCGCAGGCCCACATATACACCACAGCCCGGTTGGTCCGGCACTCCTTGGAGAAACAATCTAGTTTCCTCTTGAAGATGTCCACGGTTGTTCCGGCAATATTTCTTATAGTCGCTGGGAGGATGTTGAACAACCGTGGACCTCTGATGTTCATACAGTGTTCTCTGATTGTGCCTATGGCACCTCTGCTCTTCACTGGTTCTATTCTGAATTTTCTTCCATATCGTTCACTCCAGTATGTTGTTATTTTACTGTGTAGATTTGGGACCTGTCCCTCCAGTATTTTCCACGTGTATATTATTTGGTATCTCTCTCGTCTCCTTTCTAGTGAGTACATTTGGAGAGCTTTGAGACGATCCCAATAATTAAGGTGTTTTTTCTCGTCTATGTATGCCGTATATGTTCTCTGAACTTCCTCTATTTCAGCAATCTCTCCTGCTCTGAAGGGGGAAGTGAGTACTGAGCAGTACTCAAGACGGGACAACACAAGTGACTTGAAGAGTACAACCATTGTGATGGGATCGCTGGATTTGAAAGTTTTCGTAATCCATCCTATTATTTTTTTCTGGCTGACGCAATATTTGCTTGGTTATGCTCTCTAAACGTTAGGTCGTCGAACATCATTATTCCCAAATCCTTTACATGCTGTTTTCCTACTATGGGCATATTTGATTGTGTTTTGTACCCTGTATTATGTTTAAGGTCCTCATTTGTAGCACACCTGAGTACCTGGAGTTTATCACTGTTAAACGAGTCGGTCGGCCGAGCGGACAGCACGCTGGACTTGTGATCCTGTGGTCCTGGGTTCGATCCCAGGCGCCGGCGAGAAACATTGGGCAAAGTTTCTTTCACCCTATGCCCCTGTTACCTAGCAGTAAAATAGGTACCTGGGTGTTAGTCAGCTGTCACGGGCTGCTTTCTGGGGGTGGAGGCCTGGTCGAGGACCGGGCCGCGGGGACACTAAAAAGCCCCGAAATCATCTCAAGATAAGCTCAAGATAAGCATCATGATATTGTCTGCTGCCCAGTCAAAAACTTTATTAATATCTACTTGTAGATTTTCAGTGTCTTCAGCAGAGGTAATTTTTATGCTGATATTTGTGTCATCTGCAAAGGATGATACGAAGCTGTGACTTGTATTTTTGTCTACATCTGATATGAGAATAAGTTAAAGCAGCGGTGCAAGGACTGTACCTTGAGGTACAGAGCTTTTAACTGCGCTTAGACTCGATTTTATATGGTTGACCGTTACTCGTTATGTCCTGTTCGACAGAAAACTGAGTATCCACCGTCCTACTTTACCGGTTATTCCCATTGACCTCATTTTGTGTGCTATCTCTCCATGGTCACATTTCTCGAATGCCTTTGCGAAGTCCGTGTATACAACATCTGCATTCTGTTATTCTTCTAATGCCTCAGTGATTTTGTCGCAATAGTCAAGTAGCTGTGAGAGGCACGATCTTCACGTTTTAAATGCATGTTGGCCTGGGTTGTGAAGGTCATTGGTCTCCATGAAACTGGTGACCTGACTCCTGATCACTTTGTCAAATAACTTACTCATGTCTAACAACCCATCAACACAGACCAGGTGGTCTAACAACCCATCAACACAGACCAGGTGGTCTAACAACCCATCAACACAGACCACGTGGTCTAACAACCCATCAACACAAACCACGTGGTCTAACAACCCATCAACACAAACCAGGTGGTCTAACAACCCACCAACACAAACCACGTGGTCTAACAACCCATCAACACAAACCACGTGGTCTAACAACCCATCAACACAAACCAGGTGGTCTAACAACCCACCAACACAAACCACGTGGTCTAACAACCCATCAACACAAACCACGTGGTCTAACAACCCATCAACACAAACCACGTGGTCTAACAACCCATCAACACAAACCAGGTGGTCTAACAACCCACCAACACAGACCACGTGGTCTAACAAGCATGAGGGACGCCTGAGCACACACAGCACCTAGCCAACAGAGGGCGTCCCCTCCTCCGTCCACCTGCGAGTAACGGCCCGCGCGGCGCTCCTCCAGGATGTATCTGACCATCGGGATGCTGGACTGGTCAATCAGGCTGTTGGACGCGGCTGCTCGCAGGCAGCCTGACGTATGAATCACACAGCCTGGCGTGATTTAGCCATCCCCCCCGGAAAGAAACCCACCCCGCGGGGCTAATGTAACATTAACAGTGTTAATGATTCATACGATCAACATTAACCGTGTTAATGTAACATTAATCGTGTTAATATAACATTAACCGTCAACCACAGCCGCCAGTCAGATGGTGGCTGGCGGGAAGGAGATGATACACTACACTTCACCGCCTACACACCAACACAGGTATTGTTGATGCTCACTTGTCTGCACATTTCTTGCAATTTCTGTGTTTTTTCCCAGTAGGGAGGATTTGTGCCCTCCGAGGTACATCTCCAGAGGTA